AACATGGGAACCTATCGACATTTGATGGTTTATTTTTCCTGTTGCTCAATGGTTTTTAGTATTTTGGATGTTGTTGTTCAACCGGTAAATTTGCCATTTATTGTGGGAAAACAAATAGTTTTTTTGACGATTCAGAACATTCAAACCTACAAAAGCGCCTTTTTCATGGTGATTGACTTGAAGAAGAGAGGGATGGCTCCGTGGTTTGGGAAATTTTGTGTTTGTGAGTCCTAGTTTTGAACTTGGGCGAAAAATCTAGAGTTCAATTTCAGATGCACTATGTGGATGTTTTGGCGTGACGATTTACGGGATAGCTATACATTTTGTGTATAGGTTTTTTGCATTGGAGAGGTAAGTTAGCTACGGGAGAAGAACTAGTTGCTGCTAATTTTTTGAGGAATGTATGCGTTTAGTGGAGCAGTGATTTTTTTCTTCGAATCTTGAACAAATAGATAATTAGGACTATCGTTCACCTGATATTGATATCACACTGTGTGCTCAAAGCAAAATGTCTCAATTGTCCTTGAAAACATCAAAGAGAAGTTTATCTATCGAAAATGTTTTGATAGCTCATCTAACTATGCCAATCTGAGCATACAGTCGCCTCAGTTACCGGACTGACAGTTGTCAAGCGAATTTATCCAGTTTCATTCGAGCAATTCCAATCCCAGTGTGATAACTCTTTTAACAATTAAAATTGATAACAAAATGGCAAATAATTTTGACTTTTTAACGCCACTCCTTTCTTTTATGAAAATTAACAAACCTTTTTGTAACAGTACATTTAGAAACGTCCAAACTGATAATTCATGTTTACTTACTGATTGGTTGTATGCTCCTATGTACTCTTTGGAAAAAAACATATATTCTAATAAATAATTTTTTGGGCCATTATGTTATCAAAAAAATACAAAAATAAATGCCGCAACCACCTAGAATTCCAGGCGGGGAAAAGTTCGTTTCTTCAAAGGCCCATTTCTCATTTTCTGGTTCCTGATCCCTTCGCTTGGCGGATTCGCATGGTATATGGTGACAGCATTAGTATTCCCAAAGACGAAGGAAGTCACGGAATATATCAGGTAACGTTGTTAAGGCAACAAAAAACCGAATGACTGGAAAAAAAAGCTAGGATAGAAATAAAGCTACTGTAACTGTAATATAGTTTAACAAACCGCTAGAATTTTTCTGGGTTAATATTATTCTGAAACTTGGGACAGAAATTCACTTTCTATGAAGGAAAGGGAAAACACTTATGAATTATTCAAAACGGAAATACAACATTTCAGAATAATTATTTTTTCAAATTTTTACTGTACCCTGTGTTCCATATGTCTGCTTTCAAAAAATCTCAGCTATTAGGGAATTCGTTCCAGCTCTGTGTTAATTTTCAGCAATGTATTTTCCAGGTCCTCCGTAAAAGATTCATTCAACATGGACATTGACGACTGCGCCTACAATGCTGGTGTATTTTTCACCAATGACGCTTCAGGAGCACGAATTGTCAACTGGATGAGTTGGGCTGGATTCGCATGTTACTTATCAATTATGGCTATTCCATTCACCATAATTGTTATATTCGGGTACAAGAGTTGGAAGATTGTGGACAAGCTGCTGGAACAGGGAGAGTCAGATTTCTCAAGAAATCTTCAGATGCAATTGTATAAGGCGTTGGTGGCACAGGTAAACGAAATTCGATTTGAGCGTAAAAAGTCAAGACTTACATTTGATAATTTCGATGTGAAACTGAAAACTTTCATTGTAAATTTAAGACCATTGGTTGAAAAATATGATATCTATTCAAGGGTTGAAATATAATGACAGTTCTGATTCAGATTTAGATAGTAGATTTCCAATCTTCAAAAATAAATTTATGTTTCTCATACAACATTTATCTTTTTGAACATTTCATATTTCAATATTTTGATAGTTAAACTAGATTTCCAGACACTCATCCCAATTCTCCTCCTATTCATGCCATTTGGTCTTCTGTTCACCCTCCCAATATTTGAAATCGACTGTCAATATCTTGCTGCATTAATCACATTGATTTTTGCTATCTACCCAGCTGTTGACCCATTACCTATACTCTATTTTGTGGACTTTTATCGGATACCTATTTTGGGTAAGTATAGTGTTACTAGTAATAAGAAAAAGATTGTTCTCAGAATGGTTCCAACGGAAATGTCAGAAAGGAAATCGAGTGTGTGTTCCCGTTGTTCATGATGGGTCAATTACTATTGAAGGACAGGAAATGTCGTCAAACAAAAATTGAGAATATCTTAAAACCAAATAATTCATGACACTCTGAATTTATGAACTGTTTGAATCACTGATATTAATTGGAATAAATCTTATATTATTGGGTCAATTCTGTTTCAGCAAAAACTCGAACTCTTGAAGCTGATACCTGGTTTCTAGTAATGATATGGTGATACAATACAACTAAATCTATACGGTTTCAGATAGTCAATAAGTGCTTGTAGCTCTTATGTGAATCTCATTCTGATGGTGATAGTCACAGATAAGTTTTGTACTGCATCCTGAATGGTTTTATGGTGCGGAATCTAACAATCTTTCTAGTTGTTTCTAACTGTTTCAAACTGTTTATTTTCGAATAGCTGCTCATTTATTATGATTATTTGATGAGGGTTGAAACAAACACGATTACAACTGGAAATCATAAGTTTTAACTGTTGTTTGATGTCGCTTTTTATTCTGCAACCAGTAATGTTTTAACGCGATTGATCCATCACTGCGTTTTGTGGACTTTCACCGGTTACCTATTTTGTATGTACGGAAATTGTGTTTTTTCTGATGGTATTGATGATACAATAGTCAAATATGATAACAAGTACGTGCTTTTGTTGTTCTGCACCGGCAATATAAAAAGAGTAAACTAGAAACTAAAATAAATAAACGATTAATTGAATATGATTTTTTAGAAACATGTAATTTCAAATACAGCTTATCCAGATAGAAAATTAACAGAAATATTATTACAGATTCCAGATAGTTTAATTATTTCTGGGTTGTATCTCGAAGTTGAGCAGCACTGTAAAGGGATGATCCACGACTGGAGTCATGTAGAATTCCAATTGAGCATTGTTTGGCATCGGGAGGATCACACAATCAGGAAGCCATTGGCATCTGGAAAAAATCAATTCATGAAATTATACTTATAACAAAAAACTAACCGTCTGGTAGGAGTCCCCACAGAAGTAAGTCCTTCTAGTTCTTTCATCCTGTTACAGATGATGAATCCTTGCGTCAGACTAGTGTGAGCAGTGTAGTGCGTTCCAACCGGTGCAGCACGGAATACCAAGTTGTTGATCAAATCAATATAATAATGATAGCGTTTCGGAGCATCGCGGAGATGAAATGCAATGGTTTCGAATGGTCGCTGATTGATATGACGGAGAAATTGTCCGACAGTCCTCATAACCAATTCATGATAATTACATATTATCAAGTAACGTGCTGCCAATTTCATTTCTGCCGGTAACCAGTAGCAATCTATGTTGCTCAAGGGTGATATTATTATTCTGGTCACATAGTTCATTGGTTTATTCAGAAGTCGTTTGATAAGATACTTTGTTGCTGCGCCAAGATTTCGGGTGTACTTCATCCTCTCGATAGAAAGAATTTCTACACCATCTGAACGGAACGTCGAAATGGTCAATTGCAGGTACAAAGTGAACGGGATATCCCTATGATTGTTGTCTAATCTCAATTGATGCAGCAGAATATCAGCTTCTATTACTCCTCTCAGCTGCAAAAACATGCGTTTCAACCTTGTTTTTTCTGTTGGAGGACTCACCAGTGCTAAAGCTTCCATGAATTTCTGATCTCTTTCTTCATTTATCTCATTCAATGTTTGATTCAGCTCCACTATCTCTGCTTCGCAATACCTTCGAATTTCCTCTTCGGTTGCTGGTCTTTGCACCAATAAAGGGAAATTTCCACGAGTCACGTCCTGTACAGGAATTTCGAATCCGTACCTGTCCACGTCCCAATTCGCCCCACCGTTGCTGTTTTGCTCCAGATACCTCACTGGAACATGTGCCCCTTGCGGCCATTGCGAAACAACTCCCATTCGATAGGTTGTGTTATTGATTCTGATTCCAGATGGCTCCAAAAAAACTGACTCGATTCTCTGTGGAACTTTGCTGTCGGGTGCTTTGAGTGATGGACATCTGGTGACGAGTAGTACTCTCTGATTGGGGTCTATGTACTGGAGCAAGATCCTCAGGCTGGGGTATTCCAACGGGGCGTTTGGGAATGCCATTTACTGAAACAAGAACAGTTTGATTACTGGAATATATGTAAGCAACGATGAAAGAGGCGAGAAAAAAGCGTTCAGCATTATCGGGAAAGCAGCACAAAAAATAATATCGCAAACTCAAAATAAACGCGTAGAAACAGAAAGAAACAAATTAAAATGATGAAATCGTTCAAAAGAAAAGTCAAAGAAGAACATGAAAAAAGTGAAAAGAACTGGAGAAAAAAAAACGGAAATGGCGATGGTTCGCTCAATTTCCCGCGCTTTTTTCTTTGTGTCTTTTTTTCTTTTTTGACTATTTTTTGTTTTTGATCTACCTTTTTGAAATAAAATATCTGTAGACTCACTTCATAGCCACCATTTCACAAGAAAAGGTAGGTAGATCAAAAAATTCAGGAGAGAGAGACGCAGAGAAAAGATCGATTTAGACAAAACGAGCGCGGGAAAATTGAGAGAACCCTTGTCATTTGCCTTTTTATTTCTTTCTTTCATTTCTTTTTTTTCGCTGTTTCGTTTGCTTCACTAATCTGTGCGAATTTTTGTTAAAGTTGATTTTTTTTTCCGTTGGCGCTAAATTCTGATGGGCTTTTTGTTTGATGGAAACCAATTTTTTCGAAATTATGCCCGCACTTTTCATTTTTCGATTTTTTTTTTCGAGCCATTTCCTCATCAAAAGCGTTGACTTTCTTTCTCTACTCTCTCTTTCCTCGCGATGCTTGTCGTATTTGTGGCCTAGTGGTTAACGCTTTTGCTTATAAAATTTTTGTCGCGGGTTCAAACCCCATTAGCGCCAAATCCTTTTTTTTCTTCTAAAATCTCTATTTCTTCACAGAACCGTTTCTTATTTCAGTGAATGTCATCCCCAAACGCTCCGTTGTCGTACGAAAGTTTGAAGACCGTGCTTCGATACATGGATCCCAATCAGAGAGCACTATTCACCCATCGATGTCCAGAAGTTTCGATGTCCAGGACGGCCGACAATTGTGCTCCACAGAAAATCACAACCGTCTGCGTGGAGCCAGCTCAAATCTCAATCAACAACACAACCTATCAAATGGGAATTGTTATACAGTATCCAGAAGGAGCAACTCCACCGAAGAGTCATGTGGATATAAATAAGTGGAATGGGACACAGCAAGATTTGGACAGGTACGGATTCGAAACCTATCGACCGATCGGCACTCCTGGAGATATTTATGTTCCTGGGTCAAATCCAGTGACCCATGAGGGATTCCGACAAGGATATGAGGGTAATTTGAAGGAGATGGAGGAGAAACGGGAAAGGCTGATGCAGAGGAGAGACATCCTACATCTATCCCCAAATAGTGAGAAGAGTTTGGAAGAATTGGAGAAGACCATCGCAGATGTTGAAGCAGAACTCGTGCCGTTTCGTTTGAAGGAAGGCAAAAAAGAAGATGTCCCATATGTCCTCTACCTGCAATTGACTGTTCTGACAGAGGGTCCAAATGGTCAGAAGGTTGAAGCCATCGAGAGAATAGAGTACAACAGGCCACTTGGATCAGCATTCACCTACCTCATCCGTCGACTTCTGAATAAGAAAGAATTGACTCAGTTGGACACTTTGAGAATCACATCCATGAGGAAATCGGATTTCTTCTGGCTCCCGACAGAAATTAATTTGGCAGCAAATCACTTGACTATCGATACCAATGCTGCGAATATTGTGGAAGCTATAGAACTGCTCATCCATCCTGCCCATCGTCGTCCATTCAGAACCGTTACACTCAACCTGAATCGAGAATTAATCTACAATGAAGGTATTCTCAACACTGTCGGCACTCTCATCATCAGAAATGTACTCCCTATCTCCCTTTATGAAACCATTGCTCATCGTCGTGTGCAATTCGACTTCTGTATGGACGTGAGTTCTTTCGATTACATTTACCATCAGTGGCGGAGACCGAATGCACCAATTGGAACACACTTTTTTTCCTACACATATCCAGTGAAAGGTTCCCAGTGGTATGACTATGTGAAAAGGATTGAAGGTCGTTTTTTGGCTGAGACTCCTTCCCGAGGGTGAGTTTTTTTTTCTTCAAACTCTGAACTTGAATCTATCAATTTTTCAGAGTAGCATGTCTCCCTAATTGTGTGATCCTCCCGCTGACTGACCATACTCAACTGGAATTCTACATAACGCCTCTCATCCATCCCGTCACTTCCTTCTTTGGTCGCGAGTGTACAATAATGCTCAATTTTGAGATACAACCCAGAAGACAATTTAACTGAAGAATTTTTGTTTGTAATAATTATTTAATTATTTTTTATTTGAATAAGCTGTCTGTAATTTAAATATTCATGTTTCAAGAAGATCGTATTTAATAAAACTTTTCCGAGAAAATCAAAGAAAATAGTGCAGTCGCGCTCCACTGAACACATTACGATCGCTAAGTCGTGGTGAGACCCCGTTTTTAATCCCTACACTCCCTCTATACGGGAGACTCCATCTCGTCTTCAGTCTCAAATGGACAGGTGTATTGTCTTCCCTTTTTCTGTTCCATTTACCCTCTAAATCCCTCTGACCCCTCTTTGAGGAATGACTACACATTGTGGTCCTCCAATAGAGGTTCATCGATTTTTCACGTCATTTTTTTATAATCGCGGGCCAAAAACGGCAACAGGTGCGCTCCCTCGTAATTCGAGGTTCTGGGTGCCGTGACCCTTGCCATTATTTTTTACTTCTCTTCCATTTTTTTTTCATTGATTTTTGTTCTTTCTATTTTTATAATCTGATTATTTTCTTCTAGTCATTTTATTTTCTTTCTCGTTTTTTATATTTTTTCATCACCGGACTGCTCATTTTTCAGAAAATGCCACTCCCAGTCTTCCCACTGTCGTACGACGCTTCGAAGGCCGTGCTTCAACACATGGACCCCAACCTGAGAGCATTACTGGTCACCAAATGTCCAGCACTCAGAGCACGAGACAGGAATGTTTCACAGAAAATTGAGTCAATTTCTGTGGGGCCGGGTCGAATCTCAATGAATGAAACAACCTATCAGCTGGGAGTTATTACGCAGTGGCCGCAAGAAACAGTTCTTCCAGCGAAGTTTACAAAGGTCTACGAAAACGGTGGAGTCCAATCGGACTTGGACAAATATGGATTCAGAGTCCCTACTCCAGACGTGACTCCTGGAGACTTTCCTCTTGCTTTTATCCGCCCATCAACCGAAGAGGACATTCAAAACAAGTGCAAACAGCAAATTTGGAATCTGAAACAAAGATTGAATGCGAGAAAACAGAAGAAAAAGAGCATGGAAGCCATAGCGCAGGTGAGCTTTCCAACAAAAAGAAAGTCTTGGACAATTTTTTTTCCAGATGAGAAGAGACCGAGGTGTGGTAGAGCGTTCGAGAAGAACAGATATATTGGAAGAAATGGATGACTCCATCGCTGAAGCGGAAGCATTAATTTTGCAGTATCAACAGAGATTGGACAACAAAGAGGGAGATTTCCCGTACACTTTTTATCTGCAATTGACGGTTTCGACAAACGGTCCAGATGGTAAAAGAGTTCAACATATCGAGAGGATGCAGTACACCGGAAATCTCGGCCCAGCAACAAAGTATCTATTCGAACGACTTCTGAAAAAACCAATGAACTATGTAAAAGAACTGAGAATTGCACCCTTGACTGTCAAAGATTGCTTCTGGTCACCGGCAGAAATGAACTTGACAGCGCGTCACTTGATCATCGATGGTTACTATGAAGAAGTAAGGAGGACTGTCGGAAAAATTCCTCCGCCATATCAACCAGCGACCATACGAAACTAGTACATTCAAACTCCACAGTTGCCCGAAATATGACCAATTCACTGATTTGATCGACAAATGGGTAATCCATGGTACAATGATTGGAGTACACTACACTGCATACACTAGTACAACGGAAGGTTTGAATTGGTATAACAGTATGAAGGAACGAGAAAGCCATATTGTTGTTGAGACTCCTACCAGAGGGTTAGTTTTTTGTTATAAGTATAGTTTCATCAATCGATTATTTTCCAGATGCCAGTGTTTCCTTGATTGTGTGATCCTCCCGCTGCCTAACAATGCTCAATTGGAATTCTACATGACTCCAATCGTGGATCACCCTCATCGATTGCAGTTCAACTTGGAGGTGCAACCCAGAATTTAACTTTATTGTTTGAAATCTATCATAATTACTTAATAAATCTAAATCTGGAAAAGCTATTTGCAAATCAAAACTCATGTTTCCGAATGGCCATATTTAATAAAACTTTTCTCGGAATTGATTGTGTAGTGTTCTCATAGCAACTCGAAGTTTGGAGCAATTGTGTGACTTGACTTTGTGCAAATTGGCCTGACAAGGGAAGTACTTTTAAAAAGTGGTTGGGAATTTTCTCAAATTTTATGGGTTTATAGATACCCTTGTTGGGAGTCACATCCAAAAAAATTAGCCTCTTTTCTTCAGAAATGACCTCAAAAATTAAATTTTGGTACTGTTTCCAATACATTCATCTCCAAAAACAGCAAAAGTAGAGGTCATATCGAGCTTATGATATGCTCAGAACTCAATGTTGAGGCTTACTGACTTTAATATACATTTTGGTAAAGGTTTGGAAAAAAAATTTTTCGAAAAAATTTTTCAAAAATTTTTGCACCTAAGGACCCACCCTTATGGTGTGATCGAAAACTAAAAATTTTCGAATTTTTTCAGAACTTCCTGAAAAAAAAATGCCAAAATTGGTAAAATAGACTGGTATCAGGCTTAGAATAACACTAACCCCAAATTGGGCTTCCCAGAACAGCGAATTTCCGAGAATATGAAAATTTTGTAAAATTGTCTGAAAATTTTCAGCCAAAAATATGAAAAAATTTTTACCAAAAGAAAAGAGGCTGAAAATTTTTTTTAGGAACTCAGACATATTAAAAGAGCATTTGTGCAAATTTTCAGCCAATTCCCAACCACTTTTTAAAAACTTCCCTTGTGAGGTTTCTGCCTGGTCTTCATGCTACTCTCTCAGACTATTGAGGAAACTAGATCATCAGAGAAGATATCGGCCTCAGACAAAATAATTTTTTTTCTAAGATCTTTTTCTGAGGCCGATATCTTTTCTGAGGCCGATGAAACATCTGCATGTATTAGGAGAATCGCTAATACATCTGCATGTATTAGTGAGGTCGCTAATGCATCTGCATGTATTAGGGAGATCGCTAATACATCTGCATGTATTAGGGAAGTCGCTAATACATCTGCATGTATTAGGGAGATCGCTAATACATCTGCATGTATTAGGGAGATCGCTAATACATCTGCATGTATTAGGGAGGTCGCTAATACATCTGCATGTATTAGTGAGGTCGCTAATACATCTGCATGTATTAGGGAAGTCGCTAATACATCTGCATGTATTAGTGAGGTCGCTAATACATCTGCATGTATTAGTGAGGTCGCTAATACATCTGCATGTATTAGGGAAGTCGCTAATACATCTGCATGTATTAGTGAGGTCGCTAATACATCTGCATGTATTAGGGAGGTCGCTAATACATCTGCATGTATTAGGGAAGTCGCTAATACATCTGCATGTATTAGTGAGGTCGCTAATACATCTGCATGTATTAGTGAGGTCGCTAATACATCTGCATGTATTAGGGAAGTCGCTAATACATCTGCATGTATTAGTGAGGTCGCTAATACATCTGCATGTATTAGGGAGATCGCTAATACATCTGCATGTATTAGGGAAGTCGCTAATACATCTGCATGTATTAGTGAGGTCGCTAATACATCTGCATGTATTAGGGAGATCGCTA